TAAAAGTATGATAATGTGTTGTCTTTTTATGAAATAAGTTAAATTTTTTGGATTAACTATTTCATCAATTTTACCAAAAAATGAAACATATATATATATATATATAAGGGTTAAGATATGTGCTTTTTAAATAAAATCATTTCAATATATAAAAATAGTTTTAAATTCTCTAAATTTATATATTTACGTATGTATTTATTCACAAACATTATATATCTCGTATATTTACAAAAAAAACTTTATATACGACGATAGTAAGATTTTATAATAACTCCAAAACTGTACTGTTGTAATCGAATCCGAACACAATTTGTTGTATCTCCAATATAGTAACACGAATCCTCAAATAGTTTTAAACTAATGTCTTGGCATAACGTTAACACAAAAACACAAAACGTAACCTCATATTTCAGAACTATGAAAAAAGTTAAATATAATTTTAAAAATACAATTCATATGCAATCTCAAGACTCTAAAATTATTTCGACAATATAACTTTTGTAACTTCAAAATTGATCGCAATTGATGTTAAATATATATATATATATTTTTTTTTTAAAGAGAGAGAATAAAACTCATTATTTTGTCTCGGTCTTTTTTCTAACCAAATTTTCGTCTCGTTAGTATTTTTATAACGAATTTTTTTTTACGAAACGATTTAAGAAATAATGTACTATATATATATATTTATTTGTAATAATATTTTAACAAGAACACATTTTTATAAAATATACATCCAAGAGGGTATTATTATGAACCTCTAAATTCCTTCATCTCATGGATGTCTGGACTCCTCTTATACCCCCATTGACTGTAAGTAGAGTTCTTTAAGAAACTTCTACTTCTAAAACTTGGTTTTTAAGAAAATTTCTCATTCCCTCTTCTTGTTTTTGTGTTTTGTATCATGTTCTTGATTTATTCTAATCTCTAAAGTGATATACTAAATGTATATTGAAGTATATAAGTGGAATAATTGGCCCACTCCCTCTTCTTAGTGGAACTTTCTTGTTCTTCATTTTTGAAACTGTAACTCTAAACCTAATTCTATTGGGTCTCTCAGATTAATAATTTCCACTTTCTACATAATTTGGGAATGGAATTTGGCTGTCTCCACTCACATTATGACAGGGGTGGAAGTCCTGGCAACTACTGTAAAATAATTATTGAAAAATATCATAAAGGAAGTTGAAAATTTTAGGTTTAGAACTACTACAACTTTAATTTATTTTAATAATATATTAAGGGTGTCAAAAGTAATTTACTCTTGTCCAGAGTGAGAAACTAAAAGAAATAGCAGATCTGAAAGTGCACAAAATTTACTTATAAAAATTGGGAGACAGTTTTAAAAACCAACATAATACATCAAAAGTTTTCACGTTAAGGGACTCAACTCGACTTATCCCTACAAACTGCAAAACGGATTACACGTGTTTTGATATACTGCTAACCCACGAAATCTCACAGATCGAAATAATGAATCTCGCCCTGATCTTGGGTCGGAGAAAACGAACTTCGAAATAGCTTCTCGGGAGACATATGCCTCATTTCTTCCCACCGCCGGAAACATTGAACTTGAAAAATATTACGTCTCCGTCTTGAACAACATATGTTTTCCCCTCCTGCCTGTACTTTCCAGCGGCCTGGATGACGAGAGAAAGTTAGAACATCTGGAGAAGGGATTGAGAACTAAAACTGAGATAATGGAACCCTAGATAGATGTCAATGCATGTCAAGACTTAAAATCAAATTTTAACATGTCTAACCTCATTTGGTGCCTCATAATGTTGGCCCCTTAAAAAGATTAAAGTAAAAGAGAGATACCAACTGATGCGTTAAGCTCAGTTCGATGTTTCCATTTCTATATAGAGATGTCTATAGTATAATCAAGGATACAGTTGAGCAATTGATGACTATTTACATTTCTTGCAGCAGGCAAACAAGTAGATACAACAGAAAAATATCAGATGCGGATGAGTATGAACAATTCGAGATTAGCATACCTTAACTGCAGATTCACTACCAAGTTCCTTCAGATCCTCAAATTTCATGACCTAAACATCGTCGGGAAGCACAGGTCACGATATCAACTGAAGTGTCAATAGAAATCCAATAATTTATTATCACTAGGATCAAAATTAATATATTCTCCCTTCATTTTGATGACAACAAAGACATGAATACAAAACTGAAGCACGATTCGAATCTTGAAAACCTTTTTCTTCCTTTCGTTTTTTTAGAAAAGAAAATCTTTTCTTTCTAAAATTACTCCTTTCCTTGAAAACCCTTCATTTAATGAGAGGAGGACCTTTTGGGGAAAGGAGGCATATGAAAATAGGTAGTTCAAAGATTTCACAGATGATAGCCCTAGTGATAAAGTGACTTCTAAATTTTCATGGGTGGTAATTTACTGATAACTGACATCAAAGATATGTTTAGGAGCATGAATAAGGAGTAACTCAGCACAAATAAATCCTCTCTCAAATCGCTATGAATGGTCCCTGCAGCTTGGGGAGCCTTTGTCTGCCGTCTTATTTGCCAGCACTTCACCTGTAAAAGGAAAATTATTTAGACTTCAACTATTAGTTCCTACTAAAGAAAGACTAAGAACATTTTGATGGAAGAGTCAACTAAAGTACATTGAAAACATCAATCAAGATAAAAGGTTGAACTAAAATCAGGCATAACAGAATCTCCTGCAGTAAGGAAAAAAAGAAAAAGAAATGATATCGGAAAATATGTTTAAACGAAATCTGATTGTAACTGTTATTTGAGAGAAGAAAAGGAATGATACTAGAAATTATGTTTAACTTTAGGATTACTTATCAAAGAAGGAAAGAGTGCATGTAGGAGAAGGGACATCACTT